TGGAGGCATTCGTTTGGATCAGCGTATCAGTGCTCCAAGAACGGCTCGCCAGGAATCTACGTAGCCAGTGAGTGAACGGGCGGACGCGACGGTCTCGGATCCTTGGGTTTTCTTTTCGAAAGGGTGTGTATTTCGAGCTCGTGGTTACGAACAGACGGACCCGGAGACACGCAGGCAAACGGACAGAGAACGCTCTGAATTTTCTTCTCGGCTTCTGCGCTCGTGGATTTCGGACACGCGGTTCGGCTCCAGCCCTCACGCTCGGATTCGAATTCGAATCTGATGGAGGCTACCAGTTGTTCCTAGGTGTGACTTGGACGTCTTTGGACTTGCTTTTCGAAAAGGCGTGTACGTGTATGTATCTCGTGGTTACGAACAGACGGACCCGGAGACACGCAGGCAGACGGACAGAGAACGCTCTGAATCTTCTTCTCGACTTTTCGAAAAAGCGTGTTCTGCGCTCGCGAATCTCAGACATACAGACGGACAACGGACAGATTCCCGATAGACAAGGGACAGCGCTGGATGTTGCACGTTGCACGTTGACGACGTTGATGCATGTGCCACCCACGTGTTGGTTGCTCTGAATCGGTGATGGCTGTTCCCTTCTCCCTGAGCGTCGGTCCTAGGACGTGGGATGTGGTTAGCGTGCATCAAGGAGCGCTCTAGCGTTGACCGTCGAATAACAATGAACACCCGGTGTGGTGTCAATGTATTTCTGGGCACAACAGGATTGCGACCTTGTACTTGAAGCAGCTCTGCTCTGTACTACGATGTATGGCTGCCGTAACCGACCGTCGCCGCCCGTCGCCACATTGTGGCCTCGTGTCCTTTCTTGCTCTCTCTGGAAACAGGACTTGAAGGTGCCACCCGGACGACGGGCGCAACTGAAGGGGCTCTTGACAACGGACACGTTGCGAACCATGTGTCTCGTCTGGGTCGTCTTGTATAAAAACTGAGCTCAAAGGTGGACTACAATCAAGCTACCTACAACGCTTTAATGCTCTCATCTCATCTCATCACCTCAACAGACGTGAGCTCGTTTTTCGCCAAATTACATTGACATGATTACTTATTTTACCCAGACATCATCCCCATCCTTATCAATACTATCCACTTATCGACATGCCTGTCACATTTCCAATTGCTAGCCATCACGATCCCCCTGAGGTGTACAGGAGATTGGGCCGAGGACCCGGGTACATAGCGGGACATATCCTCTATTACCTGCCGACTGCGTACTCTATGGGACGGGTTTTCAAGAGCTCCTTTGATGGCACCCGTCCACTTATCGTGGCCAAGAACGGGTTCGTGAATGGTGTCACTGCGGCGTATGTCAAGCACTACAATCTGGTCATACGGTACGTTAAATTGATATTGTAATCTCGGAAAGGGCAGCTCTGATCTCTCTTTTTTCAAGGCCTGATGATGTTTGGATAGCAATTCTCACGCAGTTGAATTTCTAGTATGTCTCCTTCCTTTCTTTTATGCGTGTCCCCGTTTAACGACCGACTTTAGTATCAATGCTCATGCGGAAGAATTACGCGACAAGTTTGTTGACCACCAAGGACAGAAGACTCTTGTTCTCTCAAGTTCGACCCCATTAGTGTATCCTGACTCTTGTAACCTCTTCTCTGAAATCAGAGGCCAAATCCATGAGAACGTGAGCGTTCCATTGTGACAAAGACCCACAATCGCTGACCGTTTGTTAGGTCATAGACAAATCCCTCATTCCTTGGATATTGCCCAACTTCTCCACGACCACGGCCAATGACGAAGCGACGTGTTCTGTCGTTATCATGAACACACTGAAGGAGTATGTGAACTTCTACCCAATCACGAGATTCCATACCAATTACATTCCCAAGGCACGTCAGCCACCTTATGTTGGGCGGCTGTGGCATTCCTTTCCTCACCCTTGACGGAACGCAAATGGATTGGATTTCCATTGTAGCACGCCTCGAGAGGCTTTCCGAGTTCGGCTCTGAACCTGAGCTATGGGCTAGGATGCTGCGCGTCGTTCTCATGCACTTCATCCGTGCCTTTTACAACCAAGGTGTGGAGCGCCACTTTTGGGAGAGTATGGTGCATGATGTCGACAACCGCCGCCCGTCTTGCCTCAGCGGTTGGATCGGTGTTTTCTGCGCTTGGGATGCACGAGGCAAATTCCGCCTGGAAAAGCTCCCTGAGAACTGGCGTGATAATGGATTCGGCGATGGGCCGTCGTGGGCGTTCTTTGATGGCTTCCGGTTGCCTCCGATGTTTAAAATAGTCGAGGGGTTCGCCGAAGTGGACGTCTCACTGTTCGGCAGATCAGACTCAGACTCGTCCAGCGAGACAGAGTACCACTGTAGCATGTTGGCCGGGCACATGGGCTTTCACATGGACGGAAGGAGCAAGACAGTACATATTACACCTCACTGGTTCCTGTACTTCAAAGGAGAGAAGCAGCATCATTCTAGCGGATTCTGGATGCAATGATGCTCTTCCACAAAGAGCTCGGAAGCGGGGTATGGTGTCTCGTACACTTATACCTCAAGTGTGTATTTTTATCTAACAGACAGCTCAATTTCCCATCGTGTTTATCCAATGTATTATAGAATCACGAATCTGAATTACATCCTTTGATCAGTTTTATCCGATATATCCAACAAACTCGTATAAATCACATCCTTTGTGCAAAGACGGTATAGCACGCAGCCACGAGCATGCTATGGAAAATCTTGTCATGTTCAGCCTCATCCTTCCGAAATCTATCCTTTCCTTGGTTTTCGACGTCCTCTAATAGCCGAGTACTCCAGATCTTCAAGTCCATGAGCCGGTTCTCTTGTTTGACAAAAAGTCCCGTCTGCAGCTCTTCCAACTTTGCGTGGAACTTTCGACCTCTCTCTTTCTGGGCTATTTGAAATCGACGGTGTCGGTCTCCCTCGGACTCGCGGAATGAAACTTCTCGGTGACGCTCTGCAGCCAAAAATGTCATCTCCTGTTGGTGTTGTGCTTCATTGAAAGAACGCTCGCGCTCATCTTCCTTCTTTTCAAAGATGGCTTGCCTGGATCTTTGTTTTTGCTCAAAGTCGAGGGCACGCCGTTGCTCATTCACGTTGAATATATGGTTACGCCGCTCCATCCCCTGCTGAAAAACCTGTTCTCTGCGAGACTGAGACTGTTCAAAAAGAATCTGATGCCTTCTCTGAACTGTTTCAAGACCAGAATCCTGCCGGATTTTATGCTTGATGGCTATCTTGGTTTTGGGAATGGGAAGTGGGTCAGAAGTATCTGCGCCTTTGAATAACGCTCTGGCAGTCTTAAAAAGGCGTGAGACGACATG